CACACACACACACACACACATACTCTCTATCTCTCTCTCACACACACACACACACCCTCGTGTTCAGACCTATAGCAACTAATATACGCAATAGACATCAATGGAGAGAATCAAAATACGCATCTAGCGATACGTACGTTTGCCAGAGGACTCCATCAGCACTGTGTGATTTACGCTAGAGCCAAACAAGCAGTAGCGAGGCATCGTCAGACCCACGACACCGGCGACACAGGAGCCCGCGTGTAGACCTGAAATGCATGCAACCACGAATGAAGCGAACACTGTAGGTTGGATAGACTTCTTACTGAGAGAGGGTAGACAGTATCGGCTGGATTTGTACCTTTTCTCTGTCTCTCTGTCTGTCTCTGCCTCTGTCTCTTTTTCTTTCTTTCTGTCTCTCTCTCGCGCGCTTTCTCTCTCCCTCTCTCTTTCTATCTTTCTTTCTCTCGGTCTCTCTCTTATTTGCTCGCTCGCTTTGGCCCTCCTTCTTACTCTGCCTCTCTGTCCTTTCCTCCCGTCTTCTTCCTTCGGGTTTCTTCCTTGTTTTCTCTCTCGCACCTTTCTCCATCGCCTCCTTCTCTTTCGCGTTCTCTCTGTCTGCCTATCTATCCCTCTCGCTCGCGCTCTCTGCGCCCCTCACTACCTTTTTTCTGAATCTCCATGTCTATACCTTTCCTCCTCCCCTCCTCACCCCTTCCTCCCCTCCCCTCCCCTTCTTTCCCTCCCCTCCTGATCCTCCCCTCCTCCTCGCATACACGTGCACGCGGCGTCACCTCGCTCGCTTACCGATTCTGAGCAGCAGCTGCTGCTGCGGGCGATGTCGTATCTTGAAGTTGGTCACCGAGCTGAGAAGGTCCAGCGAACAGTTGGCGATCTCTCTCAGGTGCACCTTGCCGTTGCGCTGCGGCAGGCCGGAGACTACCATGTAAGCGTCGCCTATAGTCTCCACTTTGTAGACGTCATGCTGTGATATGATGTCGTCGAAGACCGAGTACAGGTCATTGAGAAAGTCGACAATCTGTAAGCAGCGGGGATAGCATTGGTGTAGTTGTGCTCACACGACTGTGCTCGCGTGTGTTTGTATTTTCACTCGTACTTATATTTGTATTTGTATTTGTAGTTGTAGCTGTAGCGGTTGTTCTTTCGTCGTACTTGTACTTGTTTTGTGTTTTTACTTGTGTAATTAAAATTGCATTTAAAATGGTCCTCGTGCAGTACTTGTAGTTATACTTATATCTGCACTTTACTTGCTTTACTTACTTACGAATACCTATTTATTGTATTTGTATTTGTATTTGTGATTTTTTAATTTACAATTTTTTAATTATTATTACAAAATCAATTTTTTATTCATACGCGTGATTGTTTCCCTACGTACACGAGTATGAATAACATGCAGCAGGACGCGGGGCATCACCAGGCAGGCCTGGAATCCACAGAAAAGAGGAAGAGAAGAAAGCCAAGAAACACGCGGCGTAGAGACACCCAGGCAGAAATGCAGAGAAGCGGTCACTCCTGGAGGGAGATGGAAAAAACAGCCCATGGTCGAGTGCGCTGGCGGAGCGTCGTCGATGACCTATGCTACTCATGGGGCTAAAAGACCTAAGTAAGTAAGTAAGGACGCGGGGCATGCCGCGTACAGCCACCATGATATACTTACCTGCAGAGGAGATGAGTCAGACGCGATGGTCGTGAAGCCCACTATGTCGCTGAAGTAGATGGAGACGGAATCGTACTGCTCCGGCGCAACTGGCTTCCCAATCTTCAGCGAGTCAGCTACCACCGACTAGTGACGTCACATCGGTCTGGACGCTAGCGGTGAACATAATAAACTTGATACTTCAAATTCGAGTTAGAAGAGAGGTGTGTTTATGGAAATGTGAGCGAGGGTCAGTACATGTGGTCACCGTGAGTGAGGGCGAGAGCGGCGCCGGCGCGCAAAATCAGATTCCCCCGCCCCCACTTTTCTGTGTCGCATCCTGTGAGTAATCCGATCTGAAAGTTTTTCGAGGATAATTTTTTAAAATGACTACATATTAATATATTAATAGCGATCGTTATATAGCCTATTGAATCTAATTGTTAAATATATTCATACTGTGTACTTTTTGAATAAGAGAAAAATAGAATGACTAGATATTAGATTGGCGAGATAAACATGAGAAGAGGTAATGATGCGTTGGAGCCAGAGAATATCTACGAGCGAGCGGCAGGAAAATAGCGATGCGGCCAAACGAGCGGATCGGACCTCGGCGTATCGGACCGGACGTACACGCAGCGACCCGAACGGCCACCCCGGACGATTAGGACAGATACGTGAGCGCTAGCGGACAACCGCCACTAAGGAACTTGCGCATGCAGAGTATACTGGGAGTACACACGTGTTATAGAGACTTAGATCGAAAAGAGAAGCCTAATGGACGAGACAAGTCAGAAGTAGAGAGGAGAGGATATATGGAGGAAGACAAGATAGAATGGAAACACTGAGCGACTTTAATCTAGCCGACGTGATTTAAAGTGTATTTATATTATGTTAACAAAATTCATGTTGCTACGACACATAGCGAATGTCTTATAAGAGAGAAAGAAAGAGAGTAGAGAAGAGCCGAGCGAGAGAGCAGAGATGAGAGAGAGGAGCAGGGAGATGAGAGAGGAGAGAGAGAGAGGGGGGAGAGCGGCGAGTTGAAGAAGACTAGTAGAGCACCGCAGACCAGATGTTGCGTATACTTACGACGTAGCATCGATAAGAGCAGCACGATCTGTCTTGCTGCTGCTCTTCAATAAGAATCTGACGCCGTGCGGTTCTTCACATCGCTTCATGTTACTGTTGTAATTCTCTTCCATTAACTATCATGAATTTGTTGCGATGAGGTTGATACGGTATGAGAACAATGGCTCTCATTATTAGCTATACTTTCCTACATCAGCGATTTTTGACCAGGCATTAGGTATCAAGTCAGATCGAGTCGATGTGACGTCTTTATAGTAAAACACGGGTGTTTTAGCTCAAGCGCGTTACACAAGCGCGGGAATACCAACACATGCGCGAATATACACACACAGTACACAGCGCACGACGCACCACGTCACGCACGCACGCACGCACACGCCAACGGAACACACACACCAACACACACACACACACACAACACCACACACACACGCACACACACACACATATATGATAATTAATATATACAGGAGTAGATAATAGGGAGATAGTAGATAATATACATTCCTCGCTATGACTACTTCCTGGATTATATATATGATATAATTATAACCCCCACCCCCTGCATGCACACATCTCACGATGCCGCCGGCCATGTTGACGCAGCTCCTTGCGTATCTTCGTAAACGTGCGACGTCCGTCGCGGTATTCTGCCCAGCAGGTTCGCAGGCAAGACTCAGGATGCGGTGATTCCAGTTCGTCTGCTAGCGTCATGTCGTGAGCGGTCGGACGGAACGGTTCGCCTGCTTCCCGTTACGAATCCTAGCTGAATGGCGTCTGCCGAACGGCACGATAACACGTAAATGGCAGGAGTCGAACCTTCACACGCGAGCGTTTAGGTGTATCGAACGCGCGCAGCGTTGTTGCTCAATATTTAGTTTAATTGTTTAATTTTGGGAGGGGTCACGATTCTGCGTTTGGTTTACTTTAATTAGAATATGGCAACGCGTGTTTACTGGAATTATTGGCTAATTACCAATAATATTGGCAATGCAATTTCAAGAGTGCACTATTGTTCTCAGTACAAACAAAGTCTTTGGGATCTTATAGGACAAATGCAGACTCATTATACTAAAGTAAATCTATTTTTTTTCGTCGGAGATCGGGCACGTTTCAAAGGCGCAAGATGTTCACGATGAATATTTGCTTTCATCGCTTCGGAGCGTGGTGAAAGCAAATTGTGGGTGTGATTCTTATGCGAAGCATGATCAGCAGAGATACTGAGACAATGAAGCAAGGGTGGAAAAGAATGGTTTGGAGAGGGTGGTCAGGGAGGGTTTGAGAGGGTAGTGGGGATAAGGTGTTGAGAGGGTGGTAGGAGGGTTTGAGCAGGAGGTGCGAAAGGTTTGAGAGGTGGTGGAGTGTGTTGAGAGGAAGTAGTAGGAAGGTTGAGAAGGAGGTAGGGAGGTTGAGAGGTGGCTAGGGAGGGTTTGAGAGGTGGTAGGGAGGTTTGAAAGGGAGCGTGGGAAGGGTTTGAGAGGCTGGTAAGGAGGGTTTGAAAGGTGAGCTGGGAAGGTGAGAGCGGTGATGGTGAGGGTTTTGAGACGGTGGTGGAGAAAAGGTTGAGAGGGTGGTGGGTAGGTTTAAGAGGGTGTGGGAGGGTTTGACGAGGGTGTGGAAGGTTGACGGGTGGTAGCAGGATTGAGAGCGTTGTAGGGAGGAGTTTGAGAAAATGGTGGCCAGGCTTTGAGAGGGTAGAGGGAAGGGTTTGAGAAAAGTGGTAGGGAGGCTTTGAGAGTGTGGAAGGGCTTCTTGAGACGGTGGGTGGGTGAAAGGTTTGAGAGCCGTGGTAGGGAGGTTTGAGAGGGTGGTGGAGAGGGTTTGAAGAGGGTGGTATGGGAAGGTTTGCGCGGGTAATGGAAGAGGGTTGTTGGACGAGCGGCGGCCAAGCTTTGCGACGCATGAGGCGAGCTACGTAGCCCCCTGGGCGTGATTGTCGTCAAAGTTGTACGGCGGACAGCGAAAGACTAGTTCATGACAAGATGATAGCGAACTGTACCCATCCGCCCCTTTGTGTACCGCGCGCGGCGGGAAATCTTCCCGCAGGATTTCGCGTGAGCCGTCCATTGTTTCCGCGGCGCTAACAGTCGGTTGGCCTCGGTATTCGAGTATGTTTGAGGCCGCTTTATGGTGCTTGACCACCTTTGTGTCTGGTGATCTAAGACAAAGAGAAGTAACGCTGTTTAAACTCGGGTGTCTGTGAACTCCCGGTTGATGACGTAGTCGGGCCGCAGACCGTTCGTTACACGAACCATCGTTGGTGAAGAAAATATTCAGAACAGCTGGCAGAATAACTGAGCACGATTTCGACAGGTCCCGTATAGTAAGAGATAATAAAATTCCAATCAAACGTTAGAAAAGGATATCATAAAATAGCGGTTTCTTGGATAAAAACTACCGTCTTCAATCTAGCAATACCCATAGTAACTTAAAAAATGCATTGAAAACGCGACGCCATTTTGGATAGCAGTGTTATGCGGAATACTATATGCAGGAACTTACAACTATAATATTAAATATACATATAATATATATATATAAGTATATAATATAATACTTATACGTTACTAATACATAACAAATTAGACATTCTCTACCACGCTGCTCATGGTACCTTTGAAAATGATCACGTGCTGACTGAGTCATCGTAACAACTATTAAACGCTGGTAAATAATCACCGTAAAATCCACTGTTACACATTAATTTCCCGCTTACTTTTATTTTTTAATTTTAATTTTTTAATTTGTATCTAAATTGAAATCACTACGCAAGAAACTCGTCGTGTCTCTTTATCGTTGTCGTTTCTTGTTCTGTCAGCGAGGAAGCTTGTAGTCCGTAGTCAGTTAATCGCTGAGCCAGCCAGCGATGATCGACGAACAGTTGGTCGCCTTCGTGTTTGTAACACAACGTCATTCGTAAAGAATATACGCTCACAATTGTTTAACTTATTACTACTACTATAATAATATTCATAATAATAATCATAAAAATAATATTATAATTATTATATTAATCTAAAACAAATATATAACTGTAGTAGTCATATACTAATAATAGATAATAATAATAATCAATAATAATAATAGCTTTTAAAACATCGAGTGATGCGCGTCAACCATCATGAAGTCAATAGTATGGACTACTCCTGAAAGACGGTCCAAGCTTCACACATCTAATGCACGTAGGCAGGGTTCCGATACTAAGAAGCGTACTTGTAACAATATATCAAGGATGTCTTCATAGACTCCTGAATATATCCTATAGCAATGTTGCCCTATGCTGGTGTAGGTATAGCAAATGTGTGCCAGCGTTAACCACGTACCTTCAGTGTTGCCGGAGAACGAAGGTGGCTCTTGTGCAATATTCCATTCCGACCAAGGTCGTCATTAGAAAGCTGTACTGAAGTTATTGCGAACATGAATGTCCGTGCGTTCTCTATTAATCCTAAACAGATGTGTCGGCGAATCCAATTATCACGCAGCACATGCGCGCACACATGCCACACACACACACCCCCCACACACACACGCCGCGGCGCGCGCGCAACGGTACGCACACGACACAACACACAATCGCCATACAACACACCATCCACACACACACACATCACACAACGCACCACACGCACACGCACACGCACACGCACACGCACACGCACACGCACACGCACACACACACGCACATGTACATGTCTATATGTATAGCTATAACCTTTATTTGAGCTGCTGTCAGCAATGATATCTGTCATAGTAAGGATTTGATTGATTACCACGAGGCTGCCTTTGCGACAATATTCCCAGACCAGACAGATGTTAGGCGGATCAACGACGGCGCCGATGAATTTGTTCAGGTTATCGTGGATCACATCCTTCATCTGCAAACAAACACACACGTGCGAGAGAAACCCCGCAAGATGAACGAGCCTTTTATGCGTACATATCATTTCGGTCAATATCGATTTTCTTAGAAATTATCTGATTATCCGTTTTTTTCTTTTATTAACGTTGCATCTTTATTATCGGATTTATCTAAAAACACACAAAGTCTCGTGTATACATGTCATTATGTTCAATATCAAAATTTTAATAACCTGAATCCAATTATCTAATGACGAGTAATATTCGTATTGCATAATCGGTTTCAACATCTCTTCTATTCAAGGATATTACATTTTGTTTATTTTTTTTCATTTTAGGCTGTTAAGTCATATAGGCGTCTTCACGTTTGTCTATCCCAAACGCATTCAGCAATGTTTGGACGAATCCGTCGCATTGCCATACGCACGCAATCGTTTGAGCTGTACGGAAGCGTGAGAACTTCTAGTCTATTTTATTCTATTCTAGTTCTATGGGCCTAGCTCGTCCACCACCTTGTTCACTTACGTCATTGAACTCCAGCATCACCTGGCGGGTGACGTTCATGTGTTGTTTGTTGATATGTTTCACGGCAACCATGCGGCCTCGCTCGATCCCCACCGTCGTGAAGATCTGCTGACCTCGCATGTCGCCCAGGCCGCTCTTCTTTCCCGACCGCGAGCAGCTAGCGTAGCCGCTCGACGACGCCTTGCCGATAGAGGGCTCTGAGGTGGCCTCCTTGAGCGACCGCGATCGCGTGCGGGAGTCACTCGATATGCTGCCCTGTAATAAGGTGGATTGTGTTTATAGAGGGCGCTTCGTGATGTAGCGAGGGCGAAGCTTAGCTGAAGGGTTGAGTTCGTGTAACGCTGATTATTGATTAGTTTAGGGTTATGGCTTCGGTTGTGGTTCATTTCAGGACTCGGGTTAGAGTCAAGGTCGAGGTCAAGGTCAGTGTTAGATTTAAGGTCAGGGTCAGGGTAAATGTAAGGGTAAGCTAGGTTGGGGTTAGGATTATGATTAACGCCAGGGTAAGGCTCTGGGTTAGGGTAAGGGCTATGATAAGGGTTAGGGTTAGGGATATATTTAGGTATTGTGATTACGGTTTTAGTTATACCTATCCATATTTTACCTTACATTGCGTTATCCCCTACTTGTTACATACTTTATCTCTCACCAATAGGTCGCCTGGAATTGCTCCTCGCTTAACATCTTAATGATTGGGATGCTGTGTATCTTTGCAACGATGCAGCCAGGCTGCGTGTACTTACTTCACTACCAGAGCCGGCGGACATGAACCCTTTCTTCGGTTTGTCCACCATCTCGATGTCGTCCCACGATAGTCGCCATGCCATCAACAGTAGCGAGGCTTCAAACTTTGATCGCCTGCGTAGCAGAAGTAGAGCATTAAATACGGGAAAACCTCTTCACTGGGCGATAAAAATGTCCACGTCTGTACTACACAATCATCTTTTTTTGCTATTTGCCTGACCGTCTGGTAGAAAGAGTCCCATCTCTCTTTTCACATATATATATATATTTATATATATATATATATATCAAAAGTAAAATTTGCATCTACTTTTGAGATGCATGTGTGTTTTCAACTGTGTGTGTACGTGTTTGTGTGTGCGCGTTTGTGTGTGCGCGCGCTTGCGTGTGCGTGCGTGCGTGTGTGTGCGTGTATGTGGGTATGTGACGAGTGAACGCACCTGTACATATAGATACCGAATATGATACAGGCGGCGATAAACACTGAAGATGCGACAACTGCTATGATGATCACTAGCGTGTCTGCAAAAAAACATAGTCAATCAGCTCAACCAATTACCACTGCGACGCGTAGCCATTCCTATTTGTGCAGTAAAAACAAAAGATCGAACTTTCCCATTGTACGAAAAGGTTTTGAGTGGCTCCACTCAATATGATCAGGGTCACCTTAAACTGCGGGTACTCTAGGTGACGCCCGCAAAAGATTCACAACCTCACCCGCGTAAAAAGGGATTAGGTCATTATATTACAATTAGATATATATATCTATATATATATAGAAGTAATTTTGTCTGGTGCATCTTAAAGACAAAGGAGAATGTAACGCTGTTTAACTCGGTGTGTGAACTTCCCGAGTGGATAACGTTATCGGGCCGCAGCACGCGTATCGAACGAAACAAGGGCCCATCTTTGTCGTTGAAGAAAAGATATATCAGAACAGGGGAGGAGAATAATAGCCTACGAATCGAAACCAGGGCTGCGCTGATATAGATATAAAAATTCCAGATGCACGTTTAGAAAAGACATATTATAAAGAATAGCGGTTCTTGAGATTTAACTACCTCTTTTCAATTAGGCATCACCCATGTGATGATAAATGCATTCGGAAAAGCGCGACGCCATTTTGGCAGTAGCTACGTGTTATGACGGAATATATATGCGGAACTCGTACACTATAATATTAAATATTAATATAATATATAATATATACTTTATTAATACTAACCGTTTATCATAGCTAACAATCAGTATAATGGTCTCACCACGACCTGCATGTACATTGAAATGATCCCGTGCATGACTGAGTCTGCGTCAATCAACTTGATTAACTAATCGCTGATAAATAAATCCACCGTAAAAATCCCCATGTTACACATTTATTTCCCTTACTTTTATTTTTAATTTTTAATTTAAACTTTTTTCAAATTGAAATCACTTACGCAGAAAACGTCTTCTCGTTTATCCGTTGGTCATTTCTTGTTCTGTCCAGCGAAGGAGCTTGGTAGGTCCGACTAGTCAAGTTATCTTGAGCAGCCAGCCGATGATTCGACGAGGACAGTTAGCTCGACTGTGTGTGTAACAACAAACGTCATACGTAAGAGATATACGCTCACTAAATTGTTACTTACTATACTAATAATAATCATTTCATCAATAATAATAATAATAATAATCATATATTATTATTATTATATTAATTAATTAAATAACAATAATAACTGTAGTAGTCATATATAATAATAATAATAATAATAATAATAATAATAATAATAGCTTTAAAACATCGAGTGATGTGCTCGTCGAACCATCATATGAAGTCATAGTAGTGGATCTACGTCCTTGAAAGCGGTTCCAAGCTTCACACATCTAATGCACAGGTAGGCAGGGGTTTCCGTACTAGAATGCTACGTTGAACATATATCCAGGCAGTCTGATCCAAGAGACTCCCTGAATATATCCTATTAGGCATGATTCCTCATGCTGGAGTAGCGATAGCAAATGTGTGGCGCGTTACGTTACCTTCAGGTTGCGTAGAGACTGAAGGTGGCTCTGTTGTTGCAAGTATTCCAGATTCCCGACGCAAGGTCCATCATAGAGAGCTGTACTTGAAAGTTACTTGTCCAAACATGATGTTCGTCGGTTCTCCTCTTCATATCCTAAACAATGTGTCGCGACAATTATCACGCCAACACAATGCGCGGGCACACCATGCACACACACACACACACACACACGCGGCGCGCGCCGCGCACACGACATCACCGCTAGCACACACACACACGCATACACGACACACACACAAACACACACACAATCCACCCAGCGCACGCAACACACGACGCCATATACCCCCACCCCCGCATGCACACACTCACGTGCCGCCGGCCATGTGACGCAGCTCCTTGCGTATCTGCGTGAACGTGGGACGTCCGTCCGGTATCTCGTCCCAGCAGGTTCGCAGCAGACTCAGGATGCGGTGATTCAGTTCGTCTGCTAGCGTCATGTCGGTGAGCGTCGGACGGAACGGCTTCGCCTCTCCGTTACGAATCCTACTGATGGCGTCTGCCAAACGGACGACAACACGTAATGGCAGGAGTCGAACCCTAACGCGAGCGTTTAGGGTATCGAACCGCGCAGCGTTCGTTGCTCAATATTTAGTTTAATTGTTTAATTATTGGGGAGGGGGCACGATTTCATGGCGTTGGTTTACTTATTAAGAATAAGTGGGGCACGCGGTTGTTTACTGAATTATTGGCTAATTACCAATGAATTATTGGCATGCAATTTCAGAGTGCACTATATTCCTCAGTACAAACAAGAGGTTTTGGATCTTATAGGGACAATGCAATCATTATACTAAAGTAAACTATGTTTTTTTCGTCGGATTCGGGCACGTTTCAAGCGCAAGTGTTCACGTGAATATTTGCTTTCATCGCTTCGAGCGTGGTGAAATGCAATTGTCGTGTGATTATTATGCGAAGCATGATCAGCAAGATACTGAGGACAATGAAGCAAGGGTGGGAAAAGAATGGTTTGAGAGGGTGGTAGGGAGGGTTTGAGAAGGTAGTGGGGAAAGTTTGAGAGGGTGGTAGGGAGGGTTTGAGAGGGAGGTGGGAAAGGTTTGAGAGGGTGGTGGGGAGGGTTTGAGCGGGTGGTGTGGAGGGTTTGAGAGAGTAGTAGGAAGGGTTTGAGAAGGAGGTAGGGAGGGTTTGAGAGGGTTGTAGGGAGGGTTTGAGAGGGAGGTGGGGAGGGTTTGAGAGGGTGGTAGGGAGGGTTTGAAAGAGAGCTGGGAAGGGTTTGAGAGGGTGATGGGGAGGGTTTGAAAGCGCGGTGGGGAGGGTTTGAGAGAGTGGTGGGAAGGGTTTGAGAGAGTGGTGGGAAGGGTTTGAGAGAGTGGTGGGAAGGGTTTGAGAGCGTGGTGGGAAGGGTTTGAGAGAGTGGTGGGGAGGGTTTGAGAAGGTGGTGGGGAGGGTTTGAGTAGGTGGTGGGGAAGCTTTGAGAGCATGGGGGGAGGGTTTGAGAGGGTGGTGGGGAGGGTTTAAGAGGGTGGTGGGGAGGGTTTGAGAGGGTGGTGGACAGGCTTTGAGAGCGTTGTAGGGAGGGTTTGAGAGGGTGGTGGGCAGGCTTTGAGAGGGTAGAGGGAAGGGTTTGAGAGAGTGGTAGGGAGGCTTTGAGAGGGTGGTGGGAAGGCTTTGAGAGGGTGGTGGGGGAAGGTTTGAGAGCGTGGTAGGGAGGGTTTGAGAGGGTGGTGGAAAGGGTTTGAGAGCGTGGTGGGGAGGGTTTGAGAGGGTGGTAGGGAAGGTTTGCGCGAGTAATGGGAGAGGGTTTTTGGACGAGCGCGGCAAGCTTGCGACGAATGACGGCGAGCTACGTACCCCTGGGCGTGATTTCGTCAAAGTTGTACGGCGGACAGCGAAAGACTAGTTCATACAAGATGATAGCGAAACTGTACACATCGCCCCTTTGTGTACCGCGCGGCGGCGGGAAATTCTCCCGCAGGATTTCCGGAGCCGTCCATTGTTTCCCGGCGTACAGTCGGTTGGCCTGGTATTCAGTTATGTTTGAGGCCGCTTTATGGTGCTGACCACCAAAACATAGTCAATCAGTTCAACCAATTACCACTGCGACGCGAGCCATTCCTATTTGTGCAGTAAAAAACAAAGATCGAACTTTCCCATTGTACGAAAAGGTTTTGAGTGGGCTCCACTCAATATGATCAGGGTCACCTTAAACTGCCGGGTACTCTAGGTGACGCCCGCAAAAGATTCACAACCTCACCGCGCGTAAAAAGGATTAGGTCATTATATTACAATTAGATATATATATCTATATATATATATATATATATATATATATATAGAAGTAAAGTATATAAGAGTATAAAGTATAGGTATATTACAATTAGATATATATATATATATAATATATATATAACGACTTCGGCCTGCTATAGCCTCAT